ATGAATTTAGGAGACACATGAAGGATAGGGTTCCTATATCAGTGTTGTGCCTTCTATCATCTGCTCCTAGCTAGCCTATAGTACATCCAAGATATGTACGCTAATATAACAACTGACAGCATCTCCTAGCTATTGCAGCCAGTCCTCAAAACTTGTTGAAATGACCCACGTGTTTAGGGTGGCCAGGATCTAGAGTTGGTGGAACCAAGAGTAGAAAGTCAACGGAAGACTTCACAACTTGTATTGAAAATGTCCGAAATGACAAATGAGTAATGCACGCATATTTATAGTCTAGGAAGTACCTATTCGGGGTGTACTTGCTTGTAGTGTATCGCGAATATTCGTGTGACATGACTAGTGACTGTTCGTGTGACTGAGAGTGGCGTGACCCTTCGGGTGACTATACGCGCGAACCAACTGTTCATGCGTTGACTCGCTACTGCCGGCGTCATCACGCGTGTCCTTCCATATGAGGTATCGCACTACTAGTACAGTCTAAGTGTTATATCAGGAATGCATAAGTGGTAACTCTGTCGAGTAACCTTCTACACTCCCCTTCATTCCTGAGTGTATGTCTCTGGGTAAGTGTCGTCGCGTTTGCAGATTCCAACCAGGTTGGAACAGTATTGAAACTTGCCGTGTGGGAGTTTATTCGTGAGAAAGTCAGCTGCCATTTCTTCTGTAGGGCAGTATTTCATAACAACCTGCCCTTTCTCGATTTCGTCCTTGACGAAGAAGTAACGGATGGCGATGTGTTTCGTCCTTTTGATGAAGTCGGACTTGTTTGGAATCTTGATTACGCTCTGGTTGTCCCAGAGTAACTTTAAGTGTGATTTTCGCCTCGTGAAGTAACTCTTGAAGGTAGAGTCCTTCGCGAACTGCAGAGCTTACTACGACAAATTCTGCTTCGGCTGGCGAAAGTGCGATGACTTCCTGTTTCGTTGAATTCCATGAAATTACACTATATGGTTCAAGTTTGAAATCAACCCTGTACGCGAACGCCTGTTGTCGGGGTCAGCGGCGTGATCTGCATCAACGTATCCAGTCAGCCAAAAATTTGTTGCACTGTTTGTCATGTAGCTGAGACCGATTGTAGGAGTATAAATGAAATATTGAAGGGCTCGACGAAGATCGGCAATATTTTCCCTTTCAGGTCGGTGCAGGTACTGTGCGAGCTGACTCGTATGTGTATGCAAGGTTGGGGCAATAGGTAATGGCTGCAAATAGAAGACACCCGAGCTGCTGCTGGTAAAGCTGATGCTCGAAGGTGGTAAGTGTGGTTGTATTGGGTGTGTATTCGGCCGGAATATGACGAAAAGGAGTCGTCAGGCCGATAGGAGCGATGGCGAACTTTTTCGCAAGTGTTTCGGCTACTTGCTGGCAGAAAGATAGATTGCATCGACGTTTAACCCAAGGAATTGGGTAGCTGTGGGGGAAATAGGAATATTGAGAATCTCTTGGATTCTTCCTTCCATGCGCGCCAGAACACGGTTGCACGAGCCAGTGTACAGTAAGTCATCCTCGTAGCCGATTAGAAGGATGTAGTGTCCCCAAAACTTGAGTCTCTACATTCGAGGGTCATGGGGCAGCTGTACGAAGTCGAGTGAAAATAAAACTTTGTAAAGATGCTGCTGCCATCGGCGAGGAGCCTGTTTGATGCCGTAGCATGATTTAAGAAACTTGCAGGTGTGAAGTCCGACCCCATAAGTGTGAGGGAGTTTGACGAAAATATATGCATCGACGTCTGCATATAAAAACACATTTTTAACGTCCAGTTGGCGAAAGGACTGATGGCGGCTAGTAGCAATGGTGAGAAGAATTCGAACTGAGGTATGGCGGCTGACCGGAGCAAAAGTCTGGTCACAATCAATGCTGTGGGTTTGTTCGAAGCCTCGCCTACTGTGAAGTCTGGTTCGCCTGCTGCATTTGTCTTTATGCAAAAGACCCACTTGCCCGAAAGAATTTTCTTGCCGCGTGCTACTTCGCGTGGAACGAGTTTCCACATTTTCTGTTTCTCGAGAGCTGCTACCTCTGCATCCATAGATGCTTGCCATTTGTCAGCATCAGAGCTAGAGAGGGCTTGATTGACTGTTTTCGGCTCGATCCCGGTCGTTGGTTGCAGAACTGAGACAACAAGTCCGAGGATCTGAAGAGCCGTTTGGTCACCACGAGGATGAGGTTGGCAAACTTCGACGACGTCATCAACGTCAATTTCACATGGCAGATGGCGAGCACCGTCATGTGATGCTGCGCAGGTGCTTCTCATAATTATGGGCAGCATGTGTCATGGCATGACGCAACGGGTCTGAGAGGGGAATGAAGAGCGTGGTTTCGGTGTTGTTGGCTCGTGTTGAAGGAATATAAGAGTCGAACAGTGGTTCGGCTGCTGATGTAGACTGCTGCGGAACTGTAGAAGTCTTGTTGCTGCACTGTCAGGCGGAAAATATTCTTCGGCTGCATCTGCTTCATCTTGAGGGGTGGCAAAACTCCGTTCGGCACTGTAGCAATTAGGAACCTGTTGATGGTGTTCCTTGTCGTGCTCGAAGTCATCGAAAAAACATTTCTCGTAGTAGATGCAGTCTTGAGCATACAAAACCTTTCGGGTTTTGTAATCCATAACTATCCAGTAGTAGGAATCTTTAGGTACACCAAGATGTATTCCCCATCGAGCCCGTTCAGTAAATCTACCCACAGTTGCGCTCGGAGATATGAATCGGACCATGCAGCCCCAAACTCGTAAAAGTCGAGTGTCGGCGGGGTGTTTTGCCCACATGATGTGTGGCGAGCTGAACTAAGGTAGAGCAGTTGAAGACAGGCAGGTGTGTAGGCGGACAGCTTGCGCCATTGCAATCGGCCAAAAATCTGCTGTCAAGTTGGACCGTTGCAGTAGTATGCGCATCTTCTCTTGCAGCGTTCTGCTCGTCCTCTCAACTACTCCATTCTGTTGATGAGCGTAAGGCACATTCTTACGCCTTAGAATCCCTTTTCGTGCCAACAATTCACCGAATCGCTTGCTAGTGTACTCGCCCCTGTTGTCAGTCTGGATCTCTTTCAGCTTGATGCCGCTCTGCCACTCTACAATTTTCTGCCATAGCTTGAAGGCATCAAGAGCTTCAGACTTGTGAGAGATATTCTTGCGCGAGACTTATCAAGTAGCACCATCGATGAAGGTAATTGTGTAGCGATAGCCATTGCCGCTGATATTCTCTGCTTCCTGGGGCATGAAGAGGATGTCGCTGAAAACGACGTCCATAGGTGAGTACTTAGTAGCACTCGGGAAGTGTGACGGGTATAGAGCGTGACTTAGGTGAGTGCCAGGGTAGATAGTGCAAGGGAGTTGGCGGCTGCTAGGTCGAAGTTCTTGGCCGTTGGTTAAAAGGAGAGCGTCCTTGTCAAAAATCGAGGCTTTACTTGAGTTGTTAAGAGCTTCCTGTGAGGGATTACCTAACCGCTTGTGCCACGTTTCTGCTGTAGTCATGTGTCCCTTTGAACATAGGTACAATTCAGAGTGAAGGAAGAAGGTCGGCGAAAGATGAATTGTTGGCGCAGAGTTGACGCAGTTGCCGGTGCTGAAAGGCTGGATGAATCCGGCTTCTTCTGCAGTTTCAACCCAAGATATGCGGAGATGTCGACGACTCGCCCAAGCATAAGGTACGATTAACTCTTTCTTGCCCCATGTACATTCAACCTCCATAGGTTCTTCGACTGTAGCAGATGTTGGTTCTTGGTTTTCGTAACCCCAGGTGCCATCTCCAGATGCCCATGTAGCTTGACCTGTTTTTGCTGCTGCTGCTGATGTTGCTTCTGTTGTCTCTGCTGCAAGTTTGTCGAGGGAGTATGTACGGGAAGGTTGAGACGTGACACAGAAGATATTGAGTCCGCGATGATCTTCGCGTTTACCATCGGTCTCGTAACGATGATGCCAAGGGGCGAGTGAGACAATCTTCTGACTATCGCCGGTTGATGTCTCAGGTGAGAATCTTAGAGCCGCGACGTCGTCCTAGATTTCTGTGATGCCGATCAAATTACATTTGTCTTCTTTCTTGTCTCTTAGGTACAACTCCGTGAGCATCGTGTTGGTGGTGCTGACAAAGCAGATGCCACTCTGCATCAGCTGTGCTTGAGACAGAAGGTTAAAGCCGAGCTCTGCGACAACGAGTACCTTGTTAAGATGAAGTGAAATTCCCGTGTCATCAGAATCGAGCATAACATCTCCGATTTGTTTTGCTTCAAGTCTCATTGTTGGCAATGGTGATCTTGTACTTCTCTCCTTTTGGCAGGTCACACCATTTGAGAAGATAGCACTTTGAAGACGCCATGAGGTGACTGCAACAGCTGTCAAGAAACCACATATTGACGTGCTCGGGATACGTGCGCTTGGCGATGTGGGCATACGGCTGCACGTTCAAACATCGAGGAAAGCCAGTAGGCTGTTCCGGTTTTGGAGTTTCCGAACGAGGACGAAGATGTGGAGGTAAGTTCTTAGGACCTTCTTCCATGTCACTGTCACTGTCCCCATTATCTCGTCTCCAGTAGCGTATACCACTAGACCAGTGAGGACCAACCATGCAAGTAATAATTGCTTTGCCTTTTGCAGGTTGAGTTGAACAAGCTGAAGGCGGTGAGATAGTCCTGACAGGGGCGGCTTTACGAGACTTCTCCTGATTCCTATTCTTTAGTTTCTGACACTCTTCATTATTATGACCTGCTCGTTTGCAGAAATTGCATAAGCCCTTTCCTCATTTTCTTGTCTGCTCCCATTGACTTGATCCACCTCTTGTCTGCGCCTCTTGACTTGGTCCACCTATATAGAAGCTTGAAGCGAGAGGTCAAAATATTGAAGGCGGGTCAAACTTGAAAAGGCCCAGACTGTCACAGGATCAAATGGGTCGAGGAAAAGTTGCACTATCGATTGATGCAAGGTGCTTTTATACTTCCAAGGTACATCATGTAACCAGTTTTATCCTATCCAAAGGGAATAGACCCTTCTAGAAATAGAATCACTCTGCGTATAGCCAGCCGAGGCTATAGACTTTAAGGGATTACGGCAGGATTACGCTAGATATAGCGCACCAGCACACCACAAGCCTGGCCGGTGATAAAGGTATAATAATAGGATAAACCAAAGGATAATGGAAAATGAGGAATAAGAGCCCAAATGAGATGAGATAAAGACCAGATGAATCAAAATAAAGGAAAGAATGAGATAGAGAAAAAGGATGGAAATGAGAAAGAAGTGTAACAGGGTTGTACTCTTACACTTCCCCCCCTCAAAGTTGGGTGGTAGAAGTAACACCCTGCTTGACAAGGTAGTCACGAAGAGGAAGACAAGCGTTACCCATCTCTGATTCAGGGACTTCGCTATCCTCAGAAGGATCATAACCCTTCCAACGGAGGAGAAGCTCCAAGGTGCCATTCCGACGACGACGGCGTGCAAGCACGGACTGTACCTTGTACTCAGGTTCATCATGGACAAGGATGGGTGGCGGTGGCGGCAGCGGTTGGTGTCCGGTAAAGACTGTGTTGGGATGGCGGTAGGGCTTCAGAAGTTGGACATGGAAGGCGTTGTGAATCTTCTAGGTAGCTGGCAAGCATAAGCGGAAGGTAATAGAAGTGACATGTGCTTCAACAAGGAAAGCCCGCAGAAGCGAGGTCAAAGTTTGGATGGGAGATGACTGGTGTCGAGATTGCGGGTGTCGAGTAGAACACGGTCTCCCACGGTGATGGTGTGGTCAGTGCGGTGACGATCGGCCTGGCGCTTCTATTGCTGCTGAATGTCGAGGAGGCGCTTGTGGGTCTGATCCCAAAGCTGATGCGTAGTCGTGATGAAGTCGTGTGCGGGTTGGAATGTTGCTGATGCTGTTGGTTTTTGTGGCATCAGCGAGTTGCATCCGTAACAGAGGAAGAACAACGACTGTCCAAGTAGCGGCGTGAGTGGCATTGATGCAAATCCCACTTAGAGATTTCGTCCTTGCATGTTGCGCAGAGGAGTTGCTCTACAATTTGGTTGAGGCGCTCGATCTGTCCATCTGTTTGTGGATCGTAGGCGGATGACATGGCTAGTTTGGTCCCGAGCAGAGACACCAGTTCCTTGCAAAACTTGTCGGTGAACTTGGGGTCTCGGTCGGAGATGATGTAGCGAACGAACAGTTGTGCCAACTCCTCGGTGCGTGCTATCGTGTGTGTCGGGATGAAGTGTCCCATTTTGGAGAATTTGTCGATGACGACGAGGATTGTGTCATGACCGCTTGTGGTAGTTGGTAACTCGGTTATGAAGTCCAGGCTAACCACTTGCCATGGTTGTTCTAGGATAGGAACAGGCTCTAGCAGTCCTGCCTTTTTCTGCTTGCTGCTCTTCATCCGCTGACATGTGTCGCACGAGGTGACGAATTTCTGTACGTCGTCTGCCATGTAGGGCCAGTAGTAGTGCTTTGCAATACCGGTGAGCGTCTTTGTTGCTACCGAAGTGCCCCGTGTATAGGACATTGTTGTATTCTTCGAGTAGTAACTGGCCCAAAGGAGGGTACAGTAATTGGGTACCCAGGTTTTCGTTGATCCTTTCCGGTATGCGATGTCACTGTCCCAGTGTAGCAGGTGTCCCTTTTCTGCCAAGGGAATTTCGGGGTTGATGGTGTACCCGTGTGTGAAGAGTCCCTTGAGTAGTGGGTTCATCACTTTGACCTGGATAGCGGCAACGTGTGCAAGCCGGCTAAGGCTGTAATTGTCGGTGTAGACGGTTGTTTTTCGTCCTTCGAGGTAACATCTTCATGTTTTGAAGGCAATTATAATAGCAAGGGCTTCTTTGTCGTGTATCGGGTAGTTTAATTCTGCCCCGTGCAATTTTTTGCCGAGGTAGGCAATTGGTTGCAGTCCATTCCCCTGGTCTTGCATCAAGACTGCTCCCACTGCCTGGTCACTAGCGTCAACTTCGATGACGTAGTCGCGTTCAAGGTCTGGAAAGATGAGTACGGGTGTGAACGTGAGTGCTTGATTCAGCTGCTCCACGGCATCCTGATGTTTTGGTTCCCACTCATAGGGCGTGTTCTTCTTCAGCATATTCGTGAATGGCATTGCGCGGCGATTTTCGCGTACTATGGCACAAACATGTTGTAATAGTTAGCAAAGCCTAGGAACTGCAACAACTCCTTCACGTCCTCGGGTGTCTTCTACGTGCGTACGGCTTCGATCTTCTTCGGGTCGACGTGAACTCCTTGAGCGTTCATCATGTGTTCTAGGAATTGGACCTTCTCGAGGGCGAATTCGCTCTTGGATAATTTGATGTAGAATCGTTCTCGTCGAAGAATGTCGAAGACGAGTCGTCGGAATTCGACGTGCTGCTTCATGTCGCGCGAGTAGATGAGGATGTTGTCCAAGTACAACGCTATGCATTCGTCCAAAAGTGGACGTAGAATGTGGTTCATTTTGGCTTGGAACGTTGCGGTGCGTTGGTGAGTCCGAACGGCATTTCTAGATACTCGTACGACGCGTACCGAGTTTGGAAGGCAGTTTTGTGGATGGAATTGTCCGCCATTCGTATCTGCCAGTACCCTGACCGCAGATCCAGTTTGAAAAATACCGTGGCTCCCCAAAGCTGGTCAAGCAGGTCATCGATTCGTGGAATCGGGTATTCGTTCTTGATGGTCTGCTTGTTGAGAGCTCGGTAATCGATGCACATGGGCAGGCTTCCGTCCGGTTTCTGTGTGAAGAGTATTGGGCACCATATGGCGAAGTGGATGGTCGGATGAGTCCTTTTGCGAGAAGATACTCGATATGTTTCTTCATGTCGGCTAGCTCTGTGGGGTTGAGCCGATATGGTACTCGAAAGCAGGGCCCTTTTTATCAGATGAAATCGGTCTGATGGTCTGATTTTCAGACCTGATTTTTTTTGTTTATCTGAGAGTTTAGACAACCCCCGAAAAATCGTCTGATCGTTAAGAGCGATGTTTTATTTTCGTCTGAAATTTAAGACTGCGTGTATTATTTCGTATGAGTCTACAGACAGCGCGTGCACATGGGAGGCCTGTGGTATGAGAGCGCTGATTGGCCCTTAGCCAATATCAGGGCCTGATACTTGCTGGGGGTCTCTATGAGGGTGCTATCTGGCCCTTCACCAAAATCAGAGGCCAATGTACAGTATGCTTGGGGCAGTGTGAGGGAAATTACTTGGCCTTGAGAAAAATTACCCCTCGGCTTGTGCTGAAGGCGGTGTGAGGGGTTTGATTGGCCCTTGTGCGCCGATGTGCGCTGTAGGCTTTGTCTGCGGGAGGCTTGTGTGTGCCAGGGTGCCCATTAGCCCTTCACAAAATTGCCACCTGGATGGCGCCGATTTCCCTCCTGCCTTGCAAATTTGATTCTCACACCCCCCAGTTCTTTTCGCCTCCCATGTGCACTCACCCGAACCACTTTATGTTGCCTAAGTTCAGGAACGTGTGATTACTATAGAGGGGAGGAGGGGGGGGGTAGAAACTCTTGAAGGATTCGTCCGGAAATTATAGAATTCGCAATTCATTTTTGTCTGGGAAGAAATTTTGTCCGTGTATCGACCGGACCTGGGGGAGGGGCGAACCCTACACGTGGCCTAGGGTCTCGGGTTTTGTTGCACATGACACGTCACCTTGGCCCCACGAGTCTCTTTGCCCCCTTAGGTGCTAGCAAACGAAACACACGCAAAATTTTAATCTCGGCAGAAAGTCAGTACTGCGTGGAGATTTCAAGGCAAAATTGCGTGTGATGTAACATAATTTTCCGAATGAAATTTTTGACTTCTCGCTCAATTTCGTATGGAAGTTCATACTGTTGCAAAAAATTTGCCTGATGGTCAGACGAAGCGAAAAAAAACCGGTCTCGCTTTCAGACGGGCTGAAATCCTCGCGAGGACCCTGCTCGGAAGGTAGGCTTCGAACCTGGTTCTTCCACGATCTCATGTTGGTGCGTCGGTATGGCGGCAGCTCGTTCAGAAGGTCGTCGGGAAGAATGTCTTGCAACTCCTTCAGTAATTCCTTGACTTTTTCTGGAGGTTCCGATGTTTTCTATCCGCCGTCTTCCACATCTGTTGCTATCGCCAAGAACACGGTGTCGGTTCATTTCACGTCCTTCTTAAACCTAGCGAGTGTCTCCACTGGGATATCTCTTGTGTCGTCCCAGTTGGGTAGCTGGACTCTCCTTCTGTTGTTGTAGATGCTTGCGGTACGGTTTACCCAATTGATCTCGGGGTTGAATTTTTCTAGGAAGTCTCGCCCAAATATCAAGTCAATCCCTTTTACTGTATGTTGGTGATGGGGAGTACAGGTTTCCAGCGCAGTGGTCTGATTTGTAGGTGTAATACTGCTTTGTCGTACATTGGTAACTTGCTGTCGTCCACCATCGTTGCAGAGAATGTTGAAGGCTTGTACTCTTTCCAAAGTCGGTCGATTACTGCCTTGTCGCATACGGTGTGTAATGCTCCGCTGTCCACGAGTGCTTGGAGGCGTCGTCCTTTGCAAATGACCTCGAGCACGAGGGGCAGGCATTGCTCAGAGTACCCAAAGATAGTTTTGTTAATAGGATCATAGGGTAAATCCCAATATTCCGTACAAGCCTTTTCATTGCTATCTACTCCTGAGCTCGCAGCTGGCCGAGGCTGCTTGGAGAAAGGCTCTTCCCCAGAACCCAAAGTTTCCATGACGACTGTGTGTGTGGTTGATGCCAAAGTTGTTGAGCTGGATGCACCCGAAGGAGGAGTTTGGGGCTTTTGCAGCTTCTTATAGACCCCCAGCTTCCTCTTGAGCTGCTTCAGCTCCACCAACATCTTCCCTGGGGAACGGGTAGTCGTTGTAGGCTGGTGTCGGGAGAGGACGTTACTCCGTGGAAAGGTCAGCTTCTTTCCACACTCCTTCATTTTTCCACTCCTTACTGCTTCCTCTGGAGTCCCTCCCGGAGTTTCTCCAAGTCTCTAGCCCCTTGAGAATAATAAGTTTACATTAAAACATCTTTATAAGATAACTTTAACGAATCCTTATCATTTCTTGGGACTTCTAGGAGTTTCCCCGTCTCGGCAGAAGTTTCTGAGATGTTCCCTTGGGAACGAAGTAGGGGCTTGCACTACCTCCATTCGGGTCCAAGTCCAGCGAGAAGGATTGTGACGAAGAGCTCATTACTGAGATCTCCTCCGCACTTGCCGAGCTGGTCCCGAAGATTTCTGCAGCTGTTGATGTAGCTACCGGCTTTTTCTCCCCGAAGCATTTGCATTGCTGTAAGTTGACTTAACAAATTGCTCTGTGTGACGGAATCTTGTGCTTGATATAACCTTCGCAGGTAATCCCAAGCATAGTAGGCTGGAGAAATCGAAGGCTTGAAGCAATGAACTCCCTACTGCTCTTCATGTGAGAGATTCCGCACCAGTAGTGTATAGGCCATAAGCGAATAGTTGTAATAACGCGCCTGTTTTTTTGCTGATCCTATATCTGGATAACGGTTTGTGCCATCGAAATATTCCAAGATGTCAAAAGACTTCGCGAGTTCGAACTCGAATCCCCCAAGTATAGAATTCACAGCCGTCAAAGTGAGTTGATGTCTTCAGCTTGGAGATAGTTAAAAAATCCGCTTGATTTATGACAGCTTGTGCAGCAAATGGTCTTCCTTCAGCCATTTGATGTTGTTGCTGCTATAGTTGTTGCTGTTGTTGAACAGGTCGCCCATAGAAGACAAAAGACCCAGAGGACTCATCTCCAGGGCCTGAACGCCAAGCGGCAACAGCGACTCGTGCATAACTAGAGTTGTCAAGGTTTATGGAGGTTGTAGGATGCACTGGAGCTTGTTGTTGTTGCTGAGTAGAGTGATTAGCCATCAAGGAAGCAAACGTAGACAGATCGTCAGTAGATAGACCAGAATTTGGAGAATTCGTAGTTGAATGTCCTGTCTTATCAGCTGACATAATTATAGATCTGAAACTTAAGCTTAAGGGTGTAATTGAAATCAGCTTGTATTGGTTCCTGTAACTCTACTTGCTCATAATACCATGTTGAAATGAACCACGCGTTTAAGGTGGCCATGATCCAGAGTTGGTGGAACCAAGAGTAGAAAGTCAACGAAAGACTTTACACGTTGTATTGGAAATGCCTGAAATGACAAGGATAATAATAATTAGTAATACATACATATTTTTAGTCTAGGAAGTGACAAATGATATAGTTTATATATATATATATATTTGTGTAGGCTTGGTAGGTGTGCTACAATTACTGAATCTCACTGTAGAGGGTACAATACCCTTCTTGTATCATTTTCTCTTCTAGTCCAAACCCTCTTCTCTCTCGTAACTTTTCTCTAGCTAATACCTCTCGCCCTCTCATGGCTACCTAGCGCCTAATCTCCTTTTAACATGAAGTACCTATTCTGGATATACCTGCTCGTAGTGTATCGCGACTATTCGTGTGAAATGACTGGTGACTATTCGTGTGGCTGAGAGTGGCATGACCCTTCGGGTGACTATGCACGCGAACCTACTGTTCACGCGT